CTAGAGTGAGTGCCGTGGTGTCAGCCTAGCTCACAGCAACCTCAAACTCCTGGCTCAAGCAATCCTCCTGCCTCAGCCTCCCAAGTAGCTGGGATACAGGCATCGCACCATGCCCGGCTAATTTTTTGTATATATATTAGTTGGCCAATTAATTTCTTTCTATTTATAGTAGATGAACGGGTCTCACTCTTGCTCAGGCTGGTTTCAAACTCCTGACCTCGAGCAATCCGCCCGCCTCGGCCTCCCAGAGAGCTAGGATTACAGGCGTGAGCCACCTCACCCTGGCTATACTATATAATCTATAGTATACTATATAATCTATATAAGGCTATAACTAAATAATCTCACTATTTCTATTTCTGGCCGCCTCTGCCGGATGGAAGAATTCATGGTTTTCTCCATCCCTCCAAACCAAGTCAGTTCTTCATCTCCTTCTTCACCTTCTCTCTAGCACCCCAAGATTAGCTTCCAGGACATGGGCTGACTCAGCATCTTGGTGTCCTGTGTCTTCCTCTGAGCTCTGATAAAGTTGACAATCCTATCTCTTACTATGACCTTGAAATGCCCTCAGGGTTCAAGGGTCAGACCCTCAAGTCCCTGACAGGCACTTGTCCCAGCACCTGGCACCCGGGCCGCTCTCTGCCTCAGACCAGCCCCTAGGCCACCCCCGGCTCCGCCTCTACCCCAGGGCCCAGCCATTCCTGCCCTGCAGCTCAGGGTGGTGTGGGCACACAGAACTCCTCAGCGGCCCCAGGGTTCCAAATTGGAAGCAGAGAATCTCTTCTGTTCTCAGAGCCTGTCACGCTTTTGGAGATTCTATAATACCATCCCTTCCCCATCCCACTCCTTGGAACTTGCTGCCAGGTGAGCAGAATCCCTCTCAGAGATCCCATTGCCTCTCTCATTCCCAGCCTCACCTTCTTCCTCTCCCTCCCCAGTTAGGAAAGAGGATCTGTACCCTTTGTAGGGGGCCTGTGGGGAGAGGAACAGTGTGTAACCTTTTAAGGGAGGAGTTGGCTCAGCTACCTTTGGAAGCCCTGTGTCTGCTGCAAGTTTTGGCGTTTTAGTGCTGCAAGGACAACCTTCCCTCTGGGCAGTAGCACCCTGGGAAGTCCGTTCAAGGGGAAATTTCAATCAATCACCCAGGAATTAGCCCACCAGTTAATACTTAACGATGTCTTGTTCTTGCTCAGGCTGCATACTTCTAGTTTGAAATTGATGACTTTTTCTTTGTCAGAACTCCAATCTTTTTGGAGTTTGAAGTCTTAGGTCGGGGTGCTGTCTGCTGCCTAAATGCACGAACAGTTCGAACAGTTCGCAGCGCTCAGCTGCAGCCCCCACCGTCCAAGTCAGGCTCCCATCTCCTTTATTCCCCAGGACTCAGAAGTTCACATTTTCACTCCCTGTTTTCTCCAGATCTTGGCTTTCGCTGTCTGCTTGCCAGATGAGCTCAGAGCACCACAAAGCAAAGTCTCAAAGCTGAAAGGGATCTGGAATGGGAAAACAGGCGAGTCACCAACTGCAAGTGTTGTAGAGAACATACTCTAGGAGTTGTCATTTCTGAAATTGAACTGCTTCTGAATTGAAGAGAAGCACATCTTGGAAGAGAAATATGTAGCCAAACCCAAAGCCAAGGTCTTTGGAGAACTGAGATCTTGCATGCTAGGAGACCTTGATCCTATAACTTGGGAGCAGGGATACGGAGCCGATTAAATTGAGGTCAAATTCTGGTCAGCTTGTCCATGATCAGTAGGAGAAAAAAGCCGACCTGATGTCTGAGTCGTATGTTTTGACACTTAAAGAGGACACAGGACAAGGACATTTTTCAGAAAAAGGAAAAAATAAACATAAAGGATAGTTAAATGTGGTATTAAAGAGGCTAAATTCTAGGCATAATCAAGGAGTAGCCATTGGGATTATTGCTTAGGTTAGTGTTTCTCAAGCTTTGACATACACACTGATTACACAGGGTGCTGATGGGGGACACCTGCCACTCTGCATTTCTAACATGCTCCTAAATGATGCTGGCACAGCTGGTTCATGGATCACACTTCAAGTAGCAACAGCTTGGAAGACAGGTTGGGAGACAGGAGATGGCCCTCAAGTGATGCTAAAAGAAACCCCAAATTCAAACACTTTCACCTTAGAACGATTTTCTATTCTAGTCTTCTTCCCAAAGTCCTTCCTGCCAGCTGCCCATGGGAATCACCTTGGCTGTTTTGTAACATTTTCTTCCCTTCTGGAGCAGTTAACATTTTCTAGAATACAAGAAGAGGGACCCAGCTCTGGCCAACTCAGGGAGATTTATATGAATGTGTCAATGGAAAAGAAGCCAAACTCTGTAAAATAATTTAAAGAGATTTGTTCTGAGCCCAATTTGAGGACCACGGCCCGAAGCAATGCCCAAGAAGCTTTGAGCAAGTGGACATGCTGTGGCTGGGTTACAGTTTGGTTTTATACATTTCAGGGAGACAGGGGTTATAGTAAAGTCATAAATCAATACATGGAAGGCATATCTTGGTGTGGCCCAAAAAGTGGACATCTCAAAGTGGGAGCTTAAATGTTATAGGTGGGCTTAAGGATTCTTTGATTTGTAATTGTTTAAAGAAATGAAGCTTTGTCTAAAGGCTTGGAATGTTTTAAGTTAAGGTAAGGAGGTCTGTTGATCAGAGACGAGTCCCCAGCTATATGCCCAGATTCAAGTGAGCTGTTGAGTAACTGATGACCTGCAGGTATGATTCAAGCTTTGTCTTGTGTAGCCTTAGGCCTGCTAATGAGTTACAAGGGATATCTTGAAGAAGGGAAAGGAGGGCATGATGAAGTGTGTCCAATTCCCTTTTCATGGCCAACACTTCAACTTTAGAGTATTTCTGGGGTCCCCTTGGCCAAGAGGTGGTCCATTCAGTCATGGGGAGCGGGAGGGTGGGTTTAAGATTTTTAGTTCACAAAGGATACTTGGCAGTGCACAGAACTGAAAAGCGGACTAACCAGTCCTGGGTGGATAGGAAACAGAGCAAATCAGGGGACTTCAGTAGCACAAGCTCCTGGACCTCCCCCCATGAGACACAAGCATTCTGTCTCTTCAAGTTTCAAGTGTAAGTCAGGTGTTTTTTACCTTTCAAGCTCTTAGCAACATAAGCTGATTAAATTTGTACCTGCTACACTTTGTCCCTAGTAAGGCTGCTCTTGATGTTACTTTTAACTTGCTTTTACAGATATACAATCGTGTGTCTGTCTCTCTGTCTAGGGAAAAAGGAGATGGTAATGAAATGTTGCAAGGTGATTTCCCCCAAAAGAAATTATTGAAAAGTCCCTTGTGTATCAAACATTTAGGACATTTAAAATGTACTGCACTATATTTTTGGCCCACATGTGTCTTGGATTTATAACTAAAATGTTTTATATGAGCAGGAGGAGCCATCTTCATGTTTTTACAATATAAACAAGGCTTGTATCTGATTTTAAAAAAAACAGTAATTGTAAATTTTCCAAGGACCATTTTGAGACATTCTTTCTCCCCTAATTATAGGGAAACATGCACAATAGAAAAACTTATGATTGGGGCAATAAAACAATGTATGAAAGAATAGGCTTCCCTGTTTTACTTAACATTGGTCAGTTATGTTTTCTAAATCTCAATTGTGGGTGCTGAAAGTGAGAGATAGGTTTCTTTCTCACAAATTTGCTTGGGTGAATAAATTTTTATTTTTTTGAGACAGGGTCTCACTCTGTCACCCACACTGGAGAGCAGTGGCCCAGTCATAGCTCCTGGCAGCCTGGAACTCCTGGGGTCAAGTGATTCTCCTACCTCAGCCTCCCAGGTAGCTGAGACTGCAGGCATGCACCACCACACTAGGCTAATCTTTTCATTTTTGTAGAGCTGGGTCTTGTTATGTAAATTTATGTAAAGTGTCTTTCAACTGCTTTGAAAAGTTAACTATTTGTGCCATCATTGCTATTATTATGGAGTTCGAGACTTTCCGGGAACAATTGAGAACTCCCGGAGCAAGAGATAAATAGGAAAGCACTTAGTTATAATCACTAAAAGGTAAGGATGAAGACAAAACACATAAAGGTATATCAATGGTATATTTCTCAAATTTATAATGAGCATAGTTCTATCCATTTCTACTTACCCTTTGCTCATTAAAAGCTTTTCAGGACTTCTTCAGAGTTCCAGCAGGAAGCTTAAAACTTTGTTTTGCTTTATTAATAGCAGCTAATATGCATGCTATAAAACGTTGGTTTCCTGAGTCTGGTTCTCTCTCCAAATGTCTAAAGATTTCAGCTTCTCATTTCCTAGATTCTGCCCCTAGGATCTGCTTTTGTCCTGAAGAGGCAGAGTAACTTGGATGGCTAAAGTGGAGAGGGGTTTTGGATAATCTGCTGAACCCACTCAGCTCTGCCTAGACCCCCTCTTTGATACCCAGGGACATCCAATCCTGGGCCCCCTCCGCCCCGCCCTCGCCTCACCTATACAACCACCTTAGCACAGTCCTAGGATGTGGTTCTTCTGTTATCTATGCCCCGGACTTTTAGAAAAAAAATTAAATTTCTGCCTGCTCTGTAACTTAAAAAATTAAATTTCTGCAGCTCATTTTCCAACTTCTTTTCTTCCTTGCCTTAAAATGGTATTCCCTTTTTTCAAATAACCACACCAGGAACGACTGGCCACTGATGTTTTCAGAGTGCTAAAGTGGAATCTCGACATAGGTCCACATACGTTAGAGTATCACGCCGGGAGTGCTCGAGTACTGGGGAAGAGATTACTGTTTTTGCATCCCCAGAGCTCAGCTAGGCACTCAATTTAAAAATCTTAATAGAGTTGAATCCTGCTGTTGTCATAGGAAAGGAATATTATCTGATGGAAAGAAACAGGAAATGAAAAAGAATCAGAAGGAAAGTCAGGGAAAAGAACTTTTATGTTCCCTCATGTTGTTTTTATCTAAAGCAACTGACTCTAAAAGTACCCAACAGGAAGGAAATAAATAAGGCAAACATCCATTTTCGGGGTGATTCTGCCCTCCTTGGCAGCTCCCGTTTTATTGAAAATGTTGTTGCTTTTTTGTTCCAAGGATTTTTATATTTTCTTTCTTCATAGGAGATGGGTGTTTGTTTGTCGTCTTAAAGTCAGGAGGCCAGCCCTGCATAAGTGTGGGACTTTTCTTGGCCATTACAATGTCATCTACAGTCAGGAGCTGCAGCACGACCTCAGCTACTGCTCGGAGTGCTTGGGCTTTGGCCGTGAGGGTGTCCCACACCCCTTCCCGGGACGCGTTTATTATCCCTTCGGCTCCCACTCCAATGAGGAAGTTCCCAACTTGGTGGGCTCCAGTCATCTCTGCCATCACCTCCGAGGCCACCAAGCCTGCATTCTCCGCCAAGGTTGTAGGAAGCACCCTCAGGGCCCGGGCAAACGCTAGGAACACAGGGCCTTTCAGCCCTTCCAGTTTGCTTCCTTTGTCCAACAGCATTTTCGCCAGAGCCATCTCTGTGGCCCCGGCGCCTGGAATCAGCCTGGGATCCTGGCACAGCTGGAAGTAGGCATCGATGCCGTGGTAGACAGCCTGCTCCGCGCCCCGCAGCCCCTGCGAGGTGGCTCCCCTGAGGACCAGCGTGAGGGCAGGGGTGCCTGTGCCTTCCCACTCAAACACCACGGCCGAATCTCCTCCCAGCTCCTGTCTGTAAACCCTGTGGCACCTCCCGGGATTCTGGGGAGGGATCAGATGAAGCAGCAGGGGTGTGCCGAACACCCTGCTGAGGTAGGCCAACTGCGCCCGGGACCGGGCCTGGATCACCATGATGCCGTGCTGGTCCGCCAGCGTGAGGGTGTCCTCATCGATGTCTCCCCACACCACCGCCACGTTGATATTCATGGCTGCCAGCTGGCCCACTTGCTTTTCTGTTAACTGCTCGCTTCCGGTCCTAAATCTCGCCAGGTCAGCAGAACTAGAGAGACGGGCAGTTGCCAGTGCGTTTGAATTGGCAGGACCAAAGGGGCAAGCAAAGAGAGCCACCCTGGCCCCACTTAGCACGAAGGTCATTTGCCCACAGGGCTTCCCAGACATCACCAGCCCCGGGAGGAGGCAGGAGTCCTCCGGCGTCCCGCCTTGCAGCGTGCACACCCCGACTTGCTCAGCCCTGAAGCTGCCATCCAGCTCCCTGGCAGCCCAGCACGCGTGGGCCACCAGCTTGGTCAAGTAGTGCGTGTGCGACAGGGTGTGGGTGTTCATCACAGAATAGAGAGCCCAGGACGGATCTTCCAAGGGGCCTAGAGAGCGGATGGCCAGCGTGGGCAGTGTGCTCAGGACCTCCGCCATGGCTGCGGCGTAGGCCTCCCGGAGCTGGGGGCGAGGCAGGCCGGCCCCCAGGAGCTGCTCTGCCTGCTCCAGCAGGGCTTCCGTCAGGAGGACCACGAAGGACGTGCCGTCCCCACTGTTCTCTGCCTGCGTTTGGGCCGCCTCCCGGAGGAACCAGGCCACTGGGTGCTCCAGCTCCAGGGCCCTGAGGATGGCAGCGGCATGCCCCGTGCACACTGTTTCCCCCTTGGTGGTCACCAGCAGCTTCTGCCGGCCATGCGGGCCGTAGCAAGGCCGGATGACATTGGCCAGGGTCTGGACTGCCGCCGTGCTGCCCAGCAGGTGCTGCGCCTCCTCCCCCCGGCTCCCCGGGCCCTCCCTCGGGCTCTGCTTCAAACGCTGGGGCAGCTCCAGGGCTGAAGAGACTCTGTTGTCCCTGGCCGGAGCAGAGGGGACATGACTGTGTGTGGCAGACATGCTCCAGGGACAGCAGCAGGGGTGACCCTGACGCCAGTCATTGAAGGTACTCAAGGGGTCAAGTGGAATCAAGGAGCCACACGCCCATCACCTGAAATGTGAAGGCAGACGCCAACCCGACGGGCTCCCTCGCGTGCGCCCCGGGACCATGGGCAGGGAGCTCAGTCCTAAAACCACCCCCAGAATTGATTCTGTCAAGGAACTGGGCTTTTGGAATCTCTGGACCTTGGTAGCAGAAACAGAATCTTTAACTGATGAAGTCACAAAGTGGCAAGTGGAACAGGGGTGGGGAATGAGGTCACGGAAGGATGGTGAGGGTAGGGGAGGCCCTAGCAGCAGGTCGACGGCAGGCCTGGTCAGCAGTGGCGGTCCACACACCTCTGCACCAGGCCCGCAACTTCTGTTTCAGCTTTGAAGACCATGAAGAGGAAATCAGATGAAAACACCTACCCACTTCAGATTCCTGATGAAGCTGCGTTTTTTTTTTTTTTTCCTTGGGAGGGGAGGGGAGGGGAGGGTTGAGAGGGAAATGAGAGATGATGTCTGTGTTCGTTCTGCTTTCTCTTGCAGTACTATGTAATACTCGCCATGTTTTGCCGTCTGTCTGCCTTTGCCATTTTGGCTGCCTTATCACTTTGTTATGTTTTCCAGGTTCCTTAAGGTGCCCATTGGCCCGTCAGGGTGCAGGTGGGGGAGGCTGCACAGTGTGTATGCCTGTGTGACAATTCCCAAAGCCAGTGATGTCCCTGAGCTGGCAGAGGCTGGTCAAGACAAGGGAGGGAAAGATGCCAATAACCCACAGACGTACAAATAGACTGGGACCTGGAGGAGGAAGAAGCAACCGGGCTTCTGGTCCGGGAGGTAGGAGGCCACAGTGAATGGAGCTGGGCCCTGAGGTCTAAACCCTAATCGCTCCCCCACCCTCCCCGCAGCCCTTGGCATTTTAGTTATTTCTCTCCATTCTTCCTCCCTCCCTCCCTTCCTCATGTAGAGCCTATTGGAGCAACATGCTCCTGCCTTAGTTTACACGTCTGCTGAGCACCTGCCATGCTCAATGTGGTGAGGAATACAAAGGCAGGAATTTAGAGATTCGCAGTGGAAACAGGTTTGTAACAAATGAACTGAGCATCTGATAGGTGTTAGGTGGAGCATCAGGTGGAAATGATAAATATATCTATTAAGATTAAGGGAAAGACAGGGCAATACCATTTTCATTTGGAAAAGCCCTGCTTCTTTGTTAATGGCAGATGTCCCTGAGAAAATGATGACACAAGTCAGGAGTTGTCATAGCACGGTGAGCATTGGTTTAGTATTTCCACAGAGGAGATAACAGCAAAAAAAAAAAAAAAAAAAAAAAAGGGAAGACCAGCTGCGGTGGCTCATGCCTGTAATCCTAGCACTCTGGGAGGCCAAGGCTGGAGGATCTCTTGAGCTCAGGAGTTTAAGACCAGCCTGAGCAAGAGCAACCCCCTGCCTCCGTCTCTACTAAAAATAGAAAAATTAGCCGGGCATGGTGGCGCATGCCTGTAGTCCCAGCTACTCTGGAGGCTGAGGCAGGAGGATCACTTGAGCCCAAGGAGTTTGAGGTTGCAGTGAGTTATGATGGTGCCACTGCACTCTACCCTGTCTCAAAAAAAAAAAAAAGGGAGAGGGACTATGTCATCATGAAAGTTAAATGTAATTAAGGCTAAAAAGGAGATAATTCTGGAGAATTATTGAAAAACAACTTGATTGCTTTTGTAAAAATGATACCCATTCATTATAAATGTTAAAAACTGCAAAGAAAGTAATAGCCATTTGGAATCCCAACCCAGTCACATTTTTTTTTTTTTTTGGAGACAGGGTCTCATTCTTGTTGTCCTGGCTAGAGTGCTGTGGCGTCAGCCTAGCTCACAGCAACCTCAACTTCCTGAGCTCAAGGGATCCTCCTGCCTCATCCTCCTGAGTAGCTGGGACTATAGGCATTCGCCACCATGCCTGGCTAATTTTTTCTATTTTTAGTTGTCCAATTATTTCTATTTTTAGTAGAGACAGGGTCTCACTCTTGCTCAGGCTAGTCTCCAACTCCTGAGCTCAAATGATCCACCTACCTCGGCCTCCCAGAGTGCTAGGATTATAGGCGGGAGCCACCTCGCCTGGCCTCCATTGTTCACATTTTGATGAGCATAGGAGGCACAGGTGGGAGAAACACTTGTGGCCAGGAGTTCGAGACTAGCCTGAGCAACATAGTGAGACTTTGTCTCTACACAAAATAGAAAAAATTAGCCAGGTGTGGTGGTATGTACCTGTAGTCCTAGCTACTTGGAAGCCTGAGGCAGGAAGATCGCTTAAGCCCAGGAGTTTGAAGTTGCAGTGAGCTGTGATTAGGCCACTGCAGTCTAGCCCAGGAGACAGAACAAGACTCTGTCTCAGGGGGGAAAAAAAACATAAAATGTAACAACCAACAAAGAATGTAGCAAAGTATATATGTATACATTGTAAAGATAGAGTTTCTTTAAAAAAAAAAAAAAAACACTCCTTGGCTGGTGGCTCAAGCCTGTATTCCTAGTACTCAACCTAGGAAGGTTGAGGTAGGCGGATTGCTTGAGATAAGGAGTTCAAGACAGACCAGCCTGAGCAAGACGGAGACCCTGTCTCTGCTAAAAGTAGAAAAATTAACCAGGTGTGGTGATGGGTACCTGTAGTCTCAGCTACTAGGGAGGCTGAGACAGGAGGATTACTTGAGCCCAGGAGTTTGAAGTTGCTATAAGCCATGATGATGCCACTGCACTTTATACAGGGCGACAGGGCGAGACTGTCTCAAAAAAAAAAACCAACATAAAAATTAAAAAACAAACACTCCTGTAAAGGGTCATCTTAACTCTTTTTCTAACACCTAATGTACATTTTCATATTTATTTCACTTATTCCACAACTGCTTGTGGAGCCGCTGCTGCTGAATGTTAGGCTACATAAGGCAGGTGACTGTCGCTGCCTCCACTGGGCTGAGGGTAGACGCGATTAAGGATTAATTGTTAATGGCGCACTTTCATTGCCGGCAAGGAGAGCTGTGACTGGGGAAGGCACGAGGTGGTGTGGAAGCACCTAGGGGGACACAGAGCCATCCTCACGGGGACAGCTGAGGTCTGCACTGAGAGCTGAAGAAAATGAAACAAAAGAAGCAGGAATTGGCCAGGTGGAAAGGGGAAGTGGGAAGGGGACAGCCTGGGAAGTTTGTCGTCCTGAAGTTTGTTGTCCATCAGATGTGGCTGCAAAGACTGGAGCTTGGGTGACAAGGAGGGGGTGGGGAGGAGCTGAGCGCGGTGGCTGGCGGGCACAGGGGCTCTCCAGGACCTGGTGAGCCGTGCCAAGGGATTTGGGCTTCAGCCCGCAGGGTGGTGAGTGGGACTGTACAATCCACTTCGGATGCAAGAGCACAGAATGTTGTGTTGTAAAATCCTCTCCTGCCTGACTGCATAGAACAGGGGACAGGGAGGATCATTGTGACCCCCCCCCAAGACAGCCACTGTCATAAAACAGGCCCCAAACAGTATTTTTTGGACTGAATTTTTTAATTTACCTCTGTACAGATCAAACCACAGAACTACCAAATCACAATTGTACTTTTTACTATGTGGCCCTTGTCATTGTTAAAATCACTTTCAAGGGTTTTAGTTATCTTTTAGATAAATATATTACATTTAAAATAAAATGTGGCCTGGCTTGGTGGCTCACGACTGTAATCCTAGCACTCTGGGAGGCCGAGGCAGGCGGATTGCTTGAGGTCAGGAGTTTGAAACCAGTCTGAGCAAGAGCAAGACCCCCGTCTCTACTATAAATAGAAAGAAATTAATTGGACAACTAAAAATATATAGAAAAAAAATTAGCCGGGCATGATGGTGCATGCCTGTAGTCCCAGCTACTCGGGAGGCTGAGGCAGAAGGATCGCTTGAGCCCAGGAGTTTGAGGTTGCTGTGAGCTAGGCTGACTCCACAGCACTCACTCTAGCCTGGACAACAATGTGAGACTCTGTCTCAAAAAAAAAAAAAAATAAATAAATAAAATGTATTTTTTTTGTGCCAAGAAAAGTTTGCATGCGATAGCCTATTATATGAATTTTTGTAACAATACCCATTTTGGTCTGTGGGTTAGCATCGGTAACAGGCTGTTTGGTAGTGATACTGGGTTGAAGAATATTCCCCCCAAATTCATATCTTCCTGCCACCTAAGAATTTGACCTTGTTTGGGAATTGGGTTGTTTGCTGATCTAATTAATGAAGATGAGGTCATGCTGGAGTGAGGTGGGCGCTAAGTCCAATACCACTGGGGTCCCTCAAAGCAGAGCAGAGGAGACAGACACACAGGAGAATGCCAGGTGAAGACACAGAAAAGGGAAGAGACACAGAGACCCAGGGAAGAAGGCCGTGAAATGACAGAGGCAGAGACTGGAGCGATGGGTCTACATGGCGAGGAACACCAGTGTCTGTGGCAACGACCAGAAGCTAAGAGAGAGGCTTGGAAAAGACTCTTCCTCAGAGCCTACCAGAAGAACTAGCTCTGCTGACACCTTGAGTTTGGACTTCTGGCCTCCAGATCTGTGAGAGAATAAATTTCTTTCTTTTTTTCGAGACAGAGTCTCACTCTGTTGCCCAGGCTAGAGTGCTGTGGTGTCAGCCTAGCTCACAGCAACCCTCAAGACTGCCTGGGGCCAACGATCCCCTCCCTGCCTCTAGCCTCCGAGTAGCGGACACGACATGCGCCACCATGCCGGGGTAATTTTTCTTATATATTGGATTGCCAGTTAATATCTTTCATATTGTAAGAGAATGGTCTCACTCTTGCTCAGGCTGGTTTCGAACTCCTGACCCGGAGCGATACACACAAACCTCTATTTCTACCCACTTTTCTGCTCCTAGTCCCTCTGTTTCCTTTTAACCCTACAATAGGAGTGACTTACAATTTGTATATACTGACACTTAAATTGTCACAAGGGCTGAAGAAGTGACTCAAAGTAAATTATTCTGATATATAATGTGCATATGAAACTCACAGTGGAAATGAATATTCTATTTCAGAATGAACAGAAATAAACACTTGCATCAATCCAATTTTGACTCTGGGAGGCTGAGGCGGGAGGATCACCCAAGGTCAGGAGTTCGAAACCAGTCTGAGCAAGAGTGAGATCTCGTCTACCAAAAATAGAAAGAAATTAATTGGCCAATTAAAAATATATAAAAAAAACAGCTGGGCGTGGTGGTACATGCCTTAGT